GCCGCAGTGGCCGCCTGTTCCCAGGCATCCACCAGGGCCTCTGGCGAATCGCATGATAGGTCAGTGGGAAATGTCCCAAGCTCCGTCAAGAACCTATCAGGGTCCATCAGGCGCCTGGGGCGGAACCAACGAGTCGATTCTGCCTCCCAGTGGTGGGGTTTGGCGGAAGGAAAGTCTAGCTGAAGGAGGAAATGATCGGTCCATGACAGGGGTAGCACAGAAAGGTCACCCCTACCCCGAGCATTTATCCACTGCCCAGAGATGAAAATCAGGTCGAGTGTGTGTCCACCGCTGTGAGTTGGGCCCTGTACAACTTGAGTCAGGTCCATAGCCGTCATGGACGCCATGAACTCCCGCACCAACTCTGATGTCTCGCCAGCTGACGGGAGATTAAAATCTCCCACAACCATCAGGTTGGGGAGCTCAACCATCAGATCAGCTAAGACTGCGTACTGCAGGCAGGACTGAAAACACGTAGCTGGGAGACAGGTACATAATCAACAGAGCCGACTGTATTCCAGGGTCCCATTTCAACAGAAGGGATTCACACCCTCCAATCTGAGGAACAGTGACCTCCCTAGGTCTAAGACCTTCCCTAATGACAACCGCCACCCCGCCACCCCTTCCATGGAGTCGCGGCTGGTGTAATATTCGGAAACCCGGTGGGCATAGATTGGAGAGAGGAACCCCTCCCTCCGCGCCCAACCAGGTCTCCGTAATGCAAGCCAGGTCCGCACCCCCCTCATCAATCAAATCATGGACAAGGGGGGCCTTATGCACAACGGACCTGGCATTAACATACACCAGCCAGAGTCCCGGGTTCCGCACTCCCATATGGTCTTGTGAGCATATGGTCTCACAAGGGGTCTGAGGATCTCATCTTGGTACCTAATGGCAGTCAGGCTACCTCTGGCGAGCACATGGAGGGCTGTGCGGCCTCCCCAAAGAAATGCCACCCCACACCATTACTGACTCACTGCCAAACTGGTCATGCTGGAGGATGTTGCAGGCAGCAAAACGTTCTCCACGGCGTCTCCAGACCCTGTCAGGTCTGTCACGTGCTCAGTGTGAACCTGCTTTCATCTGTGAAGAGCATAGGGCACCAGTGGTGAAGTTGCCAATCTTGGTGTTCTCTGGAAGTGTTGGAGATGTGAATGTGATGATGCCATGTATTATCATATATGGTGGACATGTAAAAAAATTAAGGCATTTTGGATAAAAATATGGTGAATTATTCAAAATATTCTCAAAAAGAAGATAAAATTTACTCCACAGTTCTTCTTGTTAGGTATAATTACAGATTGTACTGTTATAGAGACTAAGTTGATTTTAAATTTAATAACAGCAGCCAGACTTTTGGTGGCGCAGTATTGGAAGAAGGAAGACTTGCCTACTATTGAAGAATGGACACTAAAAGTAGTGAACTTAGCAGAGATGGCCAAAATTTCAACGTATTTGAAGGACCATTCAAATGAAAGATATACATTGGAATGGAGAAGAAGGATTGACTATATTCAAAACAAATATCGGACTAAAAAGCTTCAAATAGCTTATGAATGAAATCAACTTTTTCTTTTTGAATTATGTTTTGTTAGTTGAAAGGGGAGTTAAAGAGCAAGAGGGAATTAAGAGCCTACAGAAAGTTAGCATATTTTAGTTTATGTTTGTTAAATGTTATACCCTGTATTTGCTCTGGGAAGTCCGGGGTGGGGGGAGAGGGGTTGGAAGGAGAGGGGGATGGGGGGGGGGTGGAGGAGGGAATGGGGGGAGGAGGGACGGGGAAAAATTGTTGTAATATTTGATAAAACTTTTTAATAAAAAAAAAAATCTTGGTGTTCTCTGGCAAATGCCAAACGTCCTGCACGGTGTTGGGCTGTAAGCACAACCCCCACCTGTGGATGTCGGGCCCTCATACCACCCTCATGGAGTCTGTTTCTGACAGTTTGAGCAGCTACATGCACATTTATGGCCCGCTGGAGGTCATTTTGCAGGACTCTGGCAGTGCTCTTCCTGTCCCTCCTTGCACAAAGGCGGAGGTAGCGGTCCTGATGCTGGGTTGTTACCCTCCTACGACCTCTTCCAAGTCTCCTGATGTACTGGCCTGTCTCTCAGATGTATATCCAACTTGACAGCTTAAATCCTCAAAATAGGTCATATGCTGTCTTTTTGTTTGTTTGTGCGATCTCACAGAGCAACTGGTGACAGATAACTCTGTGATAAGAGAGAGGACACTTGAGCAGCAGAAAGTTAAATTTTCTAAATTTTCTTCATTGGGACTCATTTTCGGAATTAAAAGGAGCCTTCCTTCTCTGCCCTCACCTGCCTACAAATGGCTAGGTTACCAGAGCTGATAGAGCTATGTGTGAGCTTAACTCATGACAATAGCCCTAGAATGAGTCAAGAAGCCAAAATGTCTATTAGAGAATTGTCACTAAATAAGCTTTAGAAAGCATGAAAAGGGGGTTGTGGCTGGAGTACTATGTCCTACTCTTCTTAGGAAGTGCTCAAGGAAATAAGAGGATGTGAACTTTCTTCCGCCCAATAATATTTAACTTGTGTTGTTTCCGTAATGAGCTGCCTGTATTGTATGCTTTTGACATCTGCCTTTAAAGATTAATCCATTTTTCTGCTATTTCATGTAATCTTTTTATTCTTTTTTATGAAGCCTTTTTAATTTTATTCAATTGTTCACATATATTTCATTAGTATAATTCTAACATCCTAGTCCAGTCTATACAATGTCATAATATCTTGTGATGTCTGTGTTGGAAGGATTGTTCTTTTATACATTGATTTCTAGTTTCGGGTGACAGCTGAAAAAATGTTTGATACTATGTTAAATCTACACATAATTACCATTATTAAGTTTATCTAAGTAAGATATTCTAGTTAATGTTAATTACTTCATTTCACTCTAAGTCCATTTGTATGTTTTCATGGTATAAAACATATTCTAGCATTAGCTGATAGTAATACTAACTCATAGGAAATCTGTTGGGTAACTAAAGCTTTATTTTTTTCATGCCAGATATATTGATACTGTCTTCTTCCTATGTTCTTTTCCCTATAACCCCAAAGTCCTATATTCCAGGCATGAGTGCGGTTCCAACATGTTTTGCTCATTTTATTTTTTCCTGCAGTAGTAATTTCTGTTTCCATTCTGTTGTACAGAATAGAGTGGGGATTACTATGCATATAACTGAATTATGTTATTTACCCTTTTTCAGTCTGATTATACATCTTTGCCTCTTTAATACCTAATAGAAATAAATTGCAATATCTTTCCTTATAATATATGGATTAACAGCAGTTTATAATATTCAATATAATATTCAGGGATTCTAGGGATCCAAATTGAAAAGAAATGAGTAGAAATAATGGATGTATTTGAAATAGAGATGTGTAAATAAGTATGAATGTGGTCATGTCATAATGGCATACATTCATAAACTAATTCATTCTGTCAAATTTGCTCCAAATTTGTTTTTTTAAGCAATCACAAAACCAGGGAATTTTCGTTTATGATACTCCCTAACATGCTCATTTTGCACCCATTCTTCCCTAAGAAAGTGTGTTGGTAGAAAACTATCCTCTGTGTCTTTCTGTCTTTGTCTCTCTTCCTTCCCCCTGCCCCGTATGTATGTATGTATGTATGTATGTATGTATGTATGTATGTATACATATGTCTCTCTATCTCTCTGTATGTGTGTGCATAGTAATTTTATCAAAGTAATACATTTGTGTAAAAAAATTTTAAACTAAGAAATATCTACTCATGTCATGAGAGATTGATGGAAATCAAAGTGTGATGCATTTTTTATACACTTTATTTAGTTTTATATGACAGCCAGGAGATTATCTTTTCCTCGTTTCAAATTCTTCTTCTTCCTTTCCATGCATTAAGTAAAGTGCGGTTGCAGATTGAGTTCTGAGAAAGCTTTTCTGTACTAGTTTATCTTTTCTATCTTTCCATCCTGCAGTGATTTTAGGATTACTGAAAGTATTTTTTTGTGTATGTGTTATTAAAAGAATCAGAGACTATTGATACCTTCATTTTTCATGGAAATATATCTATCTTTAGTCTAGAGACTAGTTTCTGTATAGCTCTATTTTCCAGCTTTATACTTATAGCATGCATAATAGATATTGAAGTTCCTAAATAAATATCCAATTAAAAGACTACAAATAAATCTTTTGGTAGTTAGCTCTCCAAGCAAGCATAGTTATAGATATGAGAAAAATATTTTCCTAATAAAGATGGCTCTTTTTTTAAAAAATGTGTGCCCTGAAATTTACTTGAAACAGTCTCATATATCAGAGGGACCACCCATGCATTCAAGGGAGCAAGATGGCAATTGCTGGCTGTATTCTAAAATGCTTTCATTAGTACATTCAGCATTAATATGAAGGGAAACTTAATGGCCAGGTAAATATCCATGTATGTAGAGGAGCTCGTGTATATAAGGCTCCTTAGAGGAATGCTGAAAGTTAAAGTCTGTAGGGAAGTTTGGTATCAAGACTCCAATTTGAAGGACTAAATTGTCAGTCATTTTTTTTCCAAAGGAAGAAATCTTTGTGATAGAGATGAGCAAATAGCTTGATTCTAGAAAGATTGACTCAACCTTCCATCTTCCGAGGTCGGTAAAATGAGGACCCAGATTGTTGGGGGCAATATGCTGACTCTGTAAACTGCTTAGAGAGGGCTGTAAAGCACTGTGAAGCGGTATATAAGTCTAAGTTCAATTGCAAGTGCAAGATGCCTGATAGTTTGTTTTCATTTTAGAATTAAGGATATGATTTATAATATATTTTAAAATATAATTTAATATTTTAATAACTTCTCTGCTTTTAGAATGAAAACTATTTGTGAATAATGAGTACAAAATGTTTAAATAATTTGTGTATATGGTTAATAAATGAATAACAATGATATTTGAGCACACATCACTTAACCAGTTGCAAAGGTAGATAAAGGAATCTCCAAATTTTACATTTACAAGGTCCTGCAACGAAGGCATTGTAAGTTACTCTTTCTGGGCACCACAGGTTCAGGCAGCACTGATATTAAAGAGAACCGCAACATGGACAACATTCCACCTAAAGAAGGGACTGTGCAAGGTGCTGGGGAGGGGAATCAGCTCCCTAATGGTGGAGGCACTAGCAGCAGGAAGCGGCTGTTGGATGAGGGAAGCAATGGCCATTCCAAGTTCCGCCCAAAGAAGAAGAAGAAAACTCCAGGTCCAGTGCTGCCCAAGAATGCCCTGATGCAACTGAATGAAATCAAGCCTGGTTTACAGTACAAGCTCCTCTCCCAAAGCGGACCAGTTCATGCTCCAATTTTTGTGATGGCGGTAGAAGTTAATGGGCAGATGTTTGAAGGGTCTGGCCCCACAAAAAAGAAAGCAAAACTCCATGCGGCTGAGAAAGCTCTGAGGTCCTTTGTTCAATTTCCTAATGCATCAGAAGCTCATCTAGCAATGGGTAGAACTCTTTCGGTAAATACAGACTTTACTTCTGACCAGGCCGATTTCTCAGACACCCTCTTCAATGGGTTTGAAAATCCAGTTCAGTCTGACCATTCCTTTTACTTGGAATCCAATGGAGATGGTTCCTTTACCTCCAATCCAGATTTCAGCCTCTCATCCGTTGTGGCTAGTAGTTTTATCCAGTCATCTCTCCCTGCCCCATCACCATATGCATCAACCAGTGGGAAGAATCCAGTGATGATACTAAATGAACTTCGACCAGGGCTAAAGTATGAATTTATTTCAGAAAGTGGAGAGAGTCATGCCAAGAATTTTGTAATGGCTGTGTCAGTGGATGGCCAAACGTTTGAAGGTTCTGGACGGAACAAAAAACTGGCAAAGGCTCGGGCAGCTCAGTCAGCTCTCGCATCTTTGTTTAATATGCAGCTGGACCAAACACCATCTCACCAACCTATTCCTAGCGAGGGCCTCCAGTTACACTTGCCACAGGTGAGAAAAAAGATACAGGGTATTAATGATGCAAATGTTTACAGTGCTGGGATTGTTTTTATTATAATTCCAATTAAACATATCTGGAAAGCCATAACATTCTTGTATACTACTAATATATTTCTGCCAGGTCTCTTAATTGTATTTTGTGTTTATTGCTGAGGAAAAGTTATGATTTTTTTTATTCCTGAGAATATTTTATATAGCTAAGAAAATAGGCATAGTAATCCTGAGCCTTAGGTATGATTTGATCAATTCTATTTATGTGCAAAGTGAAACATGTTTAGGATAGGGTGGAACTACTATTATAATATTGTTTTGTTATTATGAGCAAACATCATACCAATGTTGCTTGCCAGAAAGCCATGGTAATTTGTATAACTTAATAATGCATTGCCAAAATCAATTGGTAAAGCATGTAACTGCTTGTAGATAGGCAAGACTGGAGATGACTCATCTAAGTGGTTGTAGTCACTTCCTTATAAGCATTTCACTTTGTATGCTGCTACCAACACTGGTATTCAGTCACACATTGCACCTTTTTCCACCATAGATGTAAATGTCTATTTTTTAAAATAAAGAATAGATCTCAAATCCATTGTTTCCCTGACTGCACATGGTAATAATGAAGGACACTGCTTGTACTATCACCAGGTCAAATATTCGTTGTCCATTTCGGAGATAAAATTGCCCTGTCTCTGTTCCTAGACATATTAGATTTTTGGATCCCTTGAGGGTTATAGAGTCCAATGTTGCTATAAATGGCAGTCCTCTGTATAATTTTACAAACAACACTTGTTCTCATTGTTTCTGTAATGCCGCTTAGTACTACCTGGCCACTGGCTGATTGCAGAGGGAAGGCCAAGAATCCTGGAATGATGAACCAAGAGCTGTCTGATCGATTGGAGATGTTGTCACCAGTGTCTTTTTGTCCTGCTAAATCTTCATGAGACTTTTGAGGCAGGGAATAAATGTCTATATCCGTGATGGCGAACGCGTAGCCATATCAGTGGGCACACCAACTCAGCTTTGGCGCATATGCGCATGCCAGCCAGCTAATTTTCAGGCCTTCTGGGCCCACCAGAAGTAGGGAAACAGGTTGTTTCCTGCCTCCGGAGGGCCGGGGGGGGGGCATTTTTCTTTCTTACCTGGTTCCAGATCCTCTCTATGCATCTGGGAAGGGCGAAACAGCCTTTCCCACTCCCTCGGAGGCCCTCCGGAGGCCTGAAAGGGTCCATTTCCCAACTCCCGGTGGGACAAGAAGTGACGTTTTTTGCTGTCCCTAGCCTCCAGAGACTCCTAGAGAGCTGTTTTTGCCCTTCCCAGATGCATAGAGAGAATCTGGAGCCAGGTAAGAAACAAAAATGGGCCTACCAAGCCATCGCGTGCCAGGAGTGGGGGGGGAGGGGTTGCACGCGCATGCACAGGGGTTGCATAGAATTATGGATGTGGGCACGCGCATGCGTGAACCTCCCCCACCAATCCCTCTCCTGGCACGTGATGGCAAAAAGGTTAGCCATCACTGGTCTATATTCTACTTCAGTGCAGTTTTGCTCATAGATTTAATTTAATCTGTTTGTAAAGTGTGTTATTTGTTTATTGAATGGCTAAGAATGAGATACAATTTAGCCTAAATAAATTAAGTGTAAACAGCGATATTAAAGCATTAGAGTTAAAATAATAAAAATAAAATATAAGAAATATGTAAAACCTTAAGTATAGCAGCAAAGGAAAACCAAAGTTCTGAAAGGATTTTTTTAACTGATTGAAAAAAATAATAGAGTGTGGTAGACCGCACACCTTTGGGAGACACACTTTACAGGTTGAGGTATGTATCAGAAAGTTTGCTCCCAAGTTGCTATTTATGTAAAGACACATTGAGTAGAGTCACCAATGGGGGATTATGTATACACAAGAAAAGCTCCTTCAAATACTATAGGGCCTAAAGAAATAAAATTCTAAAATTTCAAGCCCATTTTTTGTTAAATTCACTGTGTTACATTTGTCCTGTTCATCAGTTATCCAGCTACTTTTTCATACTGAGTCATCCCAAGACAGCCCATAGCATATCATGTCAGTTCTGCAGTTCTAGACTGGTTGGCCTCTACAACTCCAAATCTCCCATAAAAATGAACCCAGCAAATGAGGAAGGCAGTTTCATTGTTCAAATCAGACCCAAATCCCTGGAAATATTGAAACATTCCATTGCTCCTTAGCCAAAAGATCAAGATGTATAGAATCCCCCCCTCCACCTGCTAAATAATTATGTGAATAAGAGTGAAGGGGAAAAAATTAAAATTGCATTGAGTTCCATCTTTCATAATAATGCCATAGCATGATTATATACACTGCTCAAAAAAATAAAGGGAACACAAGCAGAAGACATCCGAGATCTGAATGAATGAAATAGCCTTATTAAATACTTTGTTACATACAGTAGTTTTGTGCTCCCTTTAGTTGTTTGAGCAGTGTATAAACTACTGTATGTAAAAAACAAAGTATTTAATAAGGCTATTTCATTCATTCAGATCTCGGATGTCTTCTGCTTGTGTTCCCTTTATTTTTTTGAGCAGTTATATTTCCCATTATTAATACTTGAAAAATAATATGGACAGTTTGTTATTGATCGTCATCCAAATATAGAAACTGATTTAGGCTTAAGTTGCTTGATTTATAAGGTTGGGAATTGTAGATGAGAAGATTTACCATTCCTTTTATTCCCCTCCTGCCCAACCTGAACCTGAACCATAAGGCAAACAAATTTGATAACTAACTACCGTATTTTCCGGCGTATAAGACGACTGGGTGTATAAGACGACCCCCAACTTTTCCTGTTAAAATATAGGGTTTGGGCTATACTCGCCATATAAGACTGCCCCTCTTCCAATGCACACCAAATAAAAATTAAAAAACATTAACTGGCTCACCTACAATGTAAAAGCAGCTGTGCTAGACCCAAAATGGCCCCTGTAACAAGCAGGAACCTCACACAGCCACAAAAAGCCCCCCCAAAAAACTTTCACACTCTAAACACACACAACACAACACAACTGGCTCACCCACAATGTAAAAGCAGCTGTGCTAGACCCAAAATGGCCCCTGCAACAAGCAGGAACCTCACACAGCCACAAAAAGTCCAAAAAACCAACTTTCACACACTTACACACACAAAATTCCACATACAGCTTTGTGAAATTTTGTGTGTTTGTGTAGTTGGAGTGAAACACTACAGAAACACACTAAATCTCAGAAAGCTGCACAAATATTGTTTTATTTTATTTTATTTTTATTTTTATATGAAAGCTAAATTTAAAACTTCCTAAACTTTAAATGGCTAGGTCTAAAAAAGAACAACTAAAAAAACCCCAATTGACTATTTTTTTTAAAGCTCCCAAAGGGGAAAAAAACTGACCCAATAGAACAGGGGTCTCCAACCTTGGCAACTTTAAGACTTGTAGACTTCAACTCCCAGAATTCCTCAGCCAGCTTTGCTTTGCTGGCTGAGGAATTCTGGGAGTTGAAGTCCACAACTAACTCCTTGCTTGATTGCAGGCAGGGAGTTGCTTGCTTGCCTGAATAAATTCAGGCAAGCAAAGCAAGGCAAGCGTTGTGACTAGCAGCTGAGGTAAGCAAGCTGGAAGGGGAAAACTTTTTTCCTTTTACATGGCTCTGGCCATCCCAGCTGAGTTGCAGGGAACTCAGCTGGGATTGTCAGAGCTGGGATCGCCAGAGCTGGGATCGCCAGAGCCATTTAAGGCTCGTCAGAGCCTTTCGGGCTGGTCTGCCTGGTTACAGGAGAACTACACCCGGCGTATAAGACGACCCCCGACTTTTGAGAAGATTTTCATGTGTTAAAAAGTCATCTTATACGCCGGAAAATACGGTAAATAACTAACCGACTAACTTCATTTTCCTATTGCGTAGGTTTCAAAATAATTTTTTTTCCCTCCATTGTTAGCTTTTAACAAGAGTTGCTGTGTCTTGCCTCATATCTCCCTCAATGTTCTCCCAAATCCATCATGCATTTTGAGGAACACAGCCACAGAGACCTATATCCTGTGATTGCTTTTGGGAATAAATGTGTCCTTTTTTGTTGTTGTACAACATTCAACCACAAGACCTCACCTGACACACCCATACCTGCCCATTACAAGATCCATCACAAGACCCTGATCTGATGTGACCCTGACCTGACCTGACATCACAAAACCTACTGATCACACAAAGCCCTTATAAGCAGAAGAATACTGACACTGACATCCCCTAAATTCCACTGAAGATGTTCCCTAGCCTGGTAACGAAACGTTCGAAACCAACGCACAAGCTCAGAGAACGAATCTCCACCCTCATCTTACACCCAAGCTACAGATATTCGCCACTATAGTGAGCTGCATTTAAAGAGAGCAAGTTTGGCATAGTGGTGAAGGCTCCAGGCTAGAAACTGGGAGACTATGAATAAGAGTCCCCCTGAGGCATGGTAGCCAACTGGGTGATTTTGAGCCAGTCACTCTCTCTCAGTCCTAGAAAGCAGGCAAAGGCAAACCATTTCTGGAAAAGTTGCCAAGGAAATTACAGAAACTTGTCCAGGGAGTGGCCAGGAGTCAAGGCTGACTGAAAGACACATACATACATATCAAATAAAATCAGAGATAAAGGAATCACAACGTTTATTATGTATACTCAGAGTTGTTGGATGTTATGGCATTCTTGCAATCTTAAATTTAAAAAAAATCTTAGAATAGACAATTTTAGGAAAAACTTGATGTATATTATCCCAATTCAGTTGGAGCTTACTGCTTGATATTATGGAAAATCAAGTTACAGTTCTTGGAATATGAAACCTGTACATCATCAGTATTTTTCTAACAATTAGAAATACACTATTTGTTTTAATGAATTCAGCAGTAAATTACCAAAGTTTTTCCTTCTGACAGTTAATAATGTGTTGTTTTAAAAGGGGAGATTATTTGAATGGTTAAAAAATGGAGAATTTGTAATAGTTTTTATATATGTTCTGGGAGGTATTAGGCAGCAGTTGGAAAAGTAATTTGGAAGCTCTCTTTCCTTATTATTTGACCCCCTATTAAAACATGTTATGTTTGAACTGGCCAATTCTGGATTTTGTTCAGCAACATAAAAGATCTGACTAGTAACTAACCAAATAACTGTAATTTTTCATATGTTATGTTATTTCCTTCCCTGTTTAGCATTTATTGTTTATATTCAATGTGTATTTCATAGTTATCCCCTCTAGTGAGAGGTTTACTATGATAATTTTAAAACTCTTCATTTGATTTTTTTAGAAGAATCTTCTATTCTTAAGATATTTGAAATACTTTACAAATTTTGCATTTTTTGTGGTTTTGATAAAAATCATAATGAATGTCTTCAATTATATGATATAGGACTGACCTCGCTGAAACAGAATCTTCCTTTAAATCAATTTTTATACTTTTATGATTTTCTAAGCATGCATGCATGCATGCATACATACATACATATGTGTGTGTGTGTGTGTGTGTGTGTATGTATATGTGTGTATATATATATATATATATATATATATGTATGTATGTAATATATATATATATATATAATTATATATATATATATATATATATGTAGGTCTTTGGTTATTCGGGTCTTCTCCCACGTAAAATTGGAAGTGTCTTGGCGACATTTCGACGAAGTCTCATTCGTCATCTTCAGGCTGGTGTTCTCGGCTTCGTGCTTCCAGGAGCAATGTGAGATCGCAGCTGTCTCTTCCTTTTAACTGCTAGTGGGGGTGTGTTCTGATTGGTTAGGGGCTTGGCTGTGCTCTGATTGGATGGGGGGTTGGTTGTGCTCTGATTGGCTGGGGGGGTGTTCTGTTTGGGTGGGGGCTTGGTTGTGCTCAGCTTAGTCTGAGTTGCAGGGGGATTTGAGCTGGTGAGCTGCGTTGTTGTTGTTTGGCTTCGCATTTGTGGTCGTGCCACATCTTCATGGTGTGTTCTTCAATGCGTGCACTTATTCTTCTGTTGGTTTGTCTGATGTATGTGGTGGGGCAGGCGGTACATGGGATTTCATGTACGACCACACATCCATGCAAAAAGCAAACCCAAACCCACACCGATGAGGCACGATCACAAACCAGAAGCCAGACCACAGCTGCATCATTAGCCACTTTAAACCCCTCCAATCCATACATGAAGCAAACTGACACCCACCATGAAGATGTGGCACGATCACGAACGCGAAGCCAAACATCAGCAACGCAGCTCACCAGCTCAAATCCCCTTGCAACTCAGACTAACCCGAGCACAACCAAGCCCCCATGCAAACAGAAAACACCCCCTATCCAATCAGAGCACAGCCAAGCCCCCAACCAATCAGAACACACCTCCACCCAATCAGAACACAGCCAAATTCCCACCCAATCAGTTCCTACCCCCACTGGCAGTTAAAAGGAAGAAACAGCTGCGATCACACATTGCTCCTAGAAGCACGAAGCCAAAAACACCAGCCTGAAGATGACGAATGAGACTTCGTCGAAACGTCGCCAAGACACTTTTACGCGGGAGAAAACCCGAATAACCAAAGACATATATATACATATATACATATATACATATATACATATATACATATATACATATATACATACGAGCACAACCAAGCCCCCACCTAAACAGAAAACACCCCCATCCAATCAGAGCACAGCCAAGCCCCCACCCAATCAGAACACAGCCAAGCTCCCACCCAATCAGTTCACACCCCCACTGGGAGTTAAAAGGAAGAAACAGTGCGATCACACATTGCTCCGAGAAGCACAAAGCCGAAAACACCAGCCTGAAGATGACGAATGAGACCGTCAAAACGTCGCCAAGACACTTCCAATTTTACGCGAGAGAAAACCCGAATAACCAAAGACCTACGTATGTATGTATGTATGTATGTATGTATGTATGTATTTCTCTTTAGCCAGGTTCTTTCTACGTAAACCAAGATTTTTATGCAGCCCTAGTTCAGTGAAATCACAATCTACTAGTTTCTAGGCTTTTTTTTCTGGCAGCCAGCAAACACTCTGCTGCCCATTGGGAGACTAAGGAGACTAAGATAGATCTATTTTGGATTTATAAGTCCTCATCAGTTAGCCACACCTTCATCCCATGTATCCTCCCTGTAATATATATAGTGTTTTTCTATCGAGACACCTAATCCATAGTCATTTTTTTTAATTGCTTTTAATTTTACAGTATATCTGGGTCATCATTCCAGTTTCTGATGATCTGTTCTGTTCTAAGGGATGCCATAACATAGCATGATAATGCAATGCAAATGGATAAATTCATTTTAACATTACAAGGGAAGGTTTTTAGTGTTCATTTTAAAGTCAGAAATAGATTTATGTTTCTGAACTGTCCAACATACCAATATAATTTTTGCAGGTTTTAGCTGATGCTGTTGCACGCTTGGTCGTAGAGAAATTCAGCGATTTGACAGATAACTTTACATCACCTCATGCACGTAGAAAAGTTCTAGCCGGTGTTGTCATGACAACAGGTAAAAACAAAACAAGACCAACCTGCCATGCAACTGGGTTCTTTATCCCCTTGTTTGTATACAAAATAAAGTGATCAAGGTAAATCGATATTTCCCCTTTCTTTCCCATATTTAATAATGTGAAATCTCTTCATGCCAAAAATTATAATTAGTAATTCATATTTAATTGTAATCTCTAAATGCTATATTTTAATATTAACCATTATTGGGCATGTGTACATATGTATGCAAATCATTGTTTTTATTTTTAATTTTAAAGCCCTTTTTGTCTTTTGCTTAATCATATAAATGAAGTAGCTATTTATAATAATCAAATACTATATTATTCCAAATTTAACATAATAAAAATTTAACAACAGCATTGCTATTAAATATACAGTATAGCTTAAATGAATCATTGACAGTTTCACTATTAAAATGTTATAATCATGTATATTTTATCCATGATATATTCAGTACTAAAAGGATAGAAATATTTTGACCCCAATGGACTGGAATTCACTGAGTTAAATACATTCTGTTGGCATGGCACTTATAATCCATAACACTATACTATCCCATAAATAGAACTGATTGGTACACTAGTGAAATAAATTATATACTGAGAGAGAGAGAAAAATTGAACAAGGCAGACAAAAGGAATAATGCTTCTAAATTCTCTTACTTCTAGAAAGTTGTGTTTTATTCATGTCCATATATATTTCAGTTAGCTAACAATTATAATGAACAAATATATTTATTTTAATCACATTAATTAAAAATATGAAAATAAAATGGTGATAAAAACACTCCCAGTTTAAATGTATAGTTAATGTCATTTCATATTTATTCAAATTCCACAAATTAGAATCTGATACTTTAAATGATGTTGCCCATAGACAATCAAATCTACTATCCTGAATTGCATGAAAAATTCAACCCATCGTTTAATTGATAGAACTCCGATGGAACAAAAAATGCCTGAGACTGCAAGGCTGGAAGCTAAATATTTTTTCTCTAAAATTCAGAAACTTTCACCTAGCCCCACTGTACCTGATATGTATAGTTTGGATAATTAACTAGATAATATTAACTAGATAATATAACTAGATAATTAGCTTGGTCAGTGTAATCTGAGTCTAGTAATGATTTAATTGTATGGATATTTTCAGTCCATCCAAGAAATGCACATAGCTGTATGGTTTGAGAACATAATGTATAAAATCCAGACTATGCAAATTAATAATTTGCTCAGTTTTATATGATTCCAAAATTTGAAAGGCAATCCATACAGAAACATCTGTGTATTTATCTGTAAATATATATTATTTATTTATTTATTTATTTTATTTTATTTTTATACCGCCCTTCTCCAGCAGGACTCAGGGTGGTGGACAGCCAAAGTAAAAACACAACATACAAAAATTAAAACAGGTTAAAAGATATTAAATAATGTTGGCCCACAATTTAAAATAACCCAGTTAAAATTAATTTCAAATTAAAACCAAAGGATGGATCAAGCCAGCCCGGCTAGATGAAATAAGTGAGTTTTAAGGGCCCGACGAAAAGTCCGGAGGTCCGATATCGTGTGTATCTCTGGGGGTAGGTTGTTTCAGAGGGCGGGTGCCGCCACAGAGAAGGCTCTCCCCCTGGGGGTCGCTAGCCGACAATGTCTGGCCGACGGCACCCTGAGGAGGCCCTCTCTGTGCGAGCGTACTGGCCGGTGGGAGGCAATTGGTGGCAGAAGGCGGTCTCATAAATATCCAGGCCCTAAGCCATGGAGCACTTTAAAGGTGGTCACCAACACCTTGAAGCGCACCCAGAAGACCACCGAGAGTCAGTGCAGCTCGCGCAGGAGAGGTGTCACATGGGAGCGCCCCGTCGCTCCCATAATCCCCCGCGCCGCTGCATTCTGGACCAGAATGCAGCCGCTGATTATTTTAAAATTCAGAATTATTTAGAGTTGAAAATTAATTTGTAATTTAATTATTTAAATAATTAATTATTAAATTATTTTTATTAGATAGTGTCCATTAGGCTACATGTTTAAGATGGCTGGAGGGAAAAAAAATTTCTATAAGTCTTTTCTCCTGAAACTGATTTTCCAGGTACTGATGTGAAAGACGCTCAGGTTATAAGTGTTTCTACAGGAACAAAATGTATTAATGGAGAATATATGAGTGACCGTGGTCTTGCTTTGAATGATTGCCATGCAGAAATTATAGCTCGGAGATGCCTACTTAAATTTCTTTTTACACAACTTGAACTACATTTAAGGTAAGTTCAAAGCATTTTTATGCTACAGAGGCAGGTTCTATCAATCACAGTGTGGATAGGATCACAGAATATTGCGCTCATATACATTCCTATGAAAACATAATATACCTCATAAAATGCTAAGACCTAATTCTGGAAAAAATGGTTTGATCTGATATTTTCAGATGACAGCAGTTGAACTAATGCTTCTTTCCATCTCTGAGATAACGCAGATAGGAATTCATTTTGTATTACTATCAGTTTTAAAGGAGCAGCATTCTATCGATTTTTCGGAGATTACTCTTAGACAGATGCTGGGGTCTTCAGTCTTTCAATAACTTATAAAATAATTTCAATCTTTAAATATTAATTTATGCTTGGCTGAACCTATGTAAAACACTTTAAAATTTCTGAGAATTGCAGTCAGTGAAAAATGTAGCAGTTTGGCTGCTAATCAGTTAAAGGTACAAATATAATATGTTACTGAATGATCAGTACACAATTGCTAGTTGCTTATAGGACACATTTTAAAACTTCACTATAACTTTCAAAGCCATGAGTATCTGCGGGGTGGAGGGGACGCATTACATTAGGAAACATGGTCAGGGGTGTCAAACTCAAGGCCCAGGGGCCAGATCCAATCCCCAAGGTGTTTAGGTCTGGCCTGCAGGGCTGCCCTGGAAACAGCGAAGGACCAGCCCATGGTGCCTCTGCCAGCGTAAATGGAACTCCGTTTATGCTGGCAGAGGTTGCAGGAGGCTGTTGCAACTGAAAATGGAGCTCGGGAGCCTGTTTTTGCTGGAAGAGGGCTTGGGTCGCCACAGGTGCCCCCAACACAACTGATGTCGAGCTGGCCATGCCCCTGGCCACGCCGCCATGCCCCCCAAGGTCAAATACAACCCTGATGTGGCCCTCAATGAAATCAAGTTTGACATCCCTGATTTAGGTCATTGTGATTTTCATAATGAAGTCATCATATTTATCATGATTTTAGCACCATCACATTATACTGCGGATGCTATCATTTAAAGCCTGTTTAAAGCTTGAATCCTTGGCAAGCAGGGTAGTCTGTGACTATCTGAAAGACCATCTCTTTTGTTGTGAGACCTGATTAGATACAAAGCCTCAGAAGGAGATGCCCTTCCCTACTATTTGAGTCTCATTTATTTGGCAAGCAGGAAATCTTCTCTTCTGTTGCCCCAAGCTATGAAATGATTTATATTGATCCTCACTCTTTCTGGATTTTGTGAAGTAATATCTTTTCTCTAAACTTTTAATTGTTAACATCTGTTTAAGATGTTTATGTTGTAACTATTGCTGGTGCCCTGAGTGCTAATTTTACTGAAAGATAGGATTCAATACATAAATAATAATGCATTAATTGAATGAAATAAATAATGCATGCTCTGCACAGACTGTGGCATGAGGCTCTTCTCAAGAGATTTTCTGTCTATAATACATAATTATATGGACATCCTAGGAAACTATTGAATGCATTATTTGTATTAGAATAACACTTTTTATAGTTATATATGTATAGTATATAGCTATAGATAGAGACAATATAAAAGTCCTTATATAAAAGTAGTCCCCATTATTTTAAAATGATTCATAATATAGAGGAGCCATATTGAATGAATGGCTTAAGTGAAAACATATGCAGGAACTGAAATGTACACCAGCAGCCATAAATTGACAAGGCTCCATTGGTAAATGTTGGGTGGAATCTCGAGATGTCATAGATTGCTTCATGTGTTTTAAAACTATTCTAATCTTATATGAAAGTTTCTGAAATACTTTGAAGCAAATTTTATGATTGCTTGTCTTCTGAGGAAATAAGAGCATTAATATCTGTCATCTTAAATCCCCAAAGGGAAAAATTTCTGTCTGTAACAGCCTAGAAGCTTTAATATAACATTATTTTTCAACATAGGCTGACATTTGTTATAGCTATATGACAAATGATCTGAAATGGCTTGGAGTATAGGGTTGGACTATAGGGTTGGACTAGAAGACCTCCAAAGTCCCATCCACCTCAATTTTCTATCTTCTAAATAATTTTGATGCTAAAACCACACTTTACATAACACTGTTATAGAGAAAATAATGTCTCTTTCATAGTATCACCAGTTGATTTAGGGATAGTTTTGGTTGTTGAATTTATATCTATTGTAAGTAGATATCTATTTGGCCCCAGGTTCCACAAGGTGGTTAAGCCTATTTATGCTAAAGTTTTCCCCTGATTTTCTCATATGAGATGAAAATCTTTTGTGCTTGATGGAGGAGGCCAGGTTGTCTGTTTTCTTATTGAATTTATTTTGCAGAACTCCTCATGAAGAATTTTTGAGAATTAAGATTGGTAATGCATACTATAAAATTAATATATTTCTGGATGTGTACTACGCAGAAAATACATTTTTATTTATTGTCTTCATTTACATTTCCAGCACAAATAAGTCAATAGGACATAGAGACAGCTGCAAAACTGACATAAAGTTTTCTTAAGCTACTTAAACAATCATAGAAAGCTTTTAACATTGGGTTAAACAGAAACTTAGGTTTTAAGCAAATTGAATGTAAAATAACCAAAGCAGATCATTTGTTCTTAATTTTTTTTATTTATAGTGTTACTGTACTAAACTAATTAAAGGAAAGTATGAATATATTCAATGGTATTAAAGAAATTTACTTCAAACTTAATCATAATAACAATGGAGAGGGAGGGAAGTGACTTGAAAATTATTATAAACAGAAAATTACATTATAAACAGCATATTCTGAATTTCTCATTATTTAATGTGGCCTTTCATTGATATAAAGCAAATTCAACTTAATCTATACGTTACATAAATAACTAATACCAGTTTTACCAATTTACGTTACATAAATAACTAATACCAGTTTTACCAATTTACTTCAATTGCCTATAAAAATTATTACATAAGAACCACAAATCTTTTAAAGCCTAATATAGAAATCATATACTGTGATTTCTATACCATACTGTGGCATAATCATTAAAGTGTAGAATTGACATTAGCTGTGGGGAGAGCCAGGTTCAAGTCCACTCTCAGCCACAGAAGCTCACTGGATAGCTTTTGACCAGTCAATCTATGCCAGCCCAATGTATATTATAGGTTTCTTTTTGTTGAGAGAAATGTTAAGGGGAAAAAATGGAAGCAGCAGAAGCATGTGGACCAAATTGTCCAATGTAAATATCCTAAGTGCAGTACTATATGTTGAAAATATCTCCTACTTGATGGATACAAGCAAGAACCTGTTGGCTTGCAAGATGGTCTGGCTTAAATTGAATAGTGAGAATATGCTTGCGGTGTACCGGCCAAAATGTCCCCCCAAAACAAACATTATTACATCCTTATCATTAATATGAAATGATACATGTGGTGCATTTTGTACAACTAAAGCTGATCCTCTAGTGTACTCTTTCCTGAATTTACTAAAAACGCTTTGATTAAAACATGGTCATGCATGCACAATGATTATGCAGAAGTCAATATTTGATGTGGTTGTCTGATGATTAGTAAGGCATGTGGAAGACTGTGACCTGGATTGTAAAACAAAAAATAAATCATCTGGGAGGTGTATGGAAGAAAGGCAATTTAGTTGTGCTGTGGGAGAGGGAAGTAAATAAAAAATCTGAATGAAGGAGCATCTAATTTTGTGGAGTAAAATTGATGAATTTCCCTAATGGAACTGGTAGTGCAGATTTAATTATGAATAAAAGGCTAAAACGTACATCAAAATGATATATTGGTGTAGTATAAATTGTTATTGGTAAACATTAAAGTAGGAAGTTATAAGATGGTTACACTTCAGTTACATCCCAGTTACACCACAATGTTCATAATTTTCATAATTATTTAGTAAAGCTTACAATTACAATAATAAAAACTAATACAAACTAAAATAAAAGAATCAAAAGGAAAAATAGTAGGCACAGAAAAGAAATAAAAATAGTAAATAAGGAAAAAAATTAAGAATCTAATAAAGAAAAAGAAGATAAGTATATAAAGAAATGACTTCTCTCTCCATCACAGTATAAACAATTTTAATTACTTATCATCTTCTCTTAAAATACAACAAATTATTTTCCCATATCCCATCTCTTATCTATAAACTAATTTATAAAGCCTGGTCATTTCAATCCTGATTTAAGAATACAAAATCCAACTGGGCAGGTTTACATGTTGGACATATATTTCCACGCTTGGAGCTGTATATATTTAATAGCTCTGTGGAAGGGGACCATCCCTTTTAAAGGGCAGGAAGAAGATCCATAGCTGATTCCTGGATGTTAACAAAAGTCCATTAGGGGCTACCAGAGATAAACAATGTATCTATTTTAACTTTCATCAAATAAGTCAACTGTTGTGTTTCTTCCTTTTATTTTTAGCCATCTTGATATTTAATCTGCATAAATAATATCATATACCATAACTTTATTTCTTTCCATTTTTTCTCCCTTCTCACAAAATAGTTTTGGCAACACAGAGCTTTCCCAGAGATTCCACAGTCCCAAAATGGATGGGGAAGAGATTCAGGGAAGCCACACCCTAGAATCACTCAGGTTATATCTAATAGGTTAGAAATTATAGCTTTAGTTTGGCAAGATTCTGTCCAAATAAAGAATTGTACTTGATTGGACTTTACAGTGTTGTCTCTAGGATTGAGCCTGACAAGAATGAAAGCAAATAGATATTAGACTCACAAAGTTCTTTTAAAAAAAATAAAGTCATACATTCTGTACAGTGGTGGGTTGCTACCGGTTTGCCCTGGATCGGGTAAACCGGTAGTGGCGGTGGCGGGAGGCTCCACCCACCCACCCAGATGTCTCTGTGCATGCGCAGAAGTGTCATGCGCAAGCACGAGCATGTGCACGTCCACGAGCATACCAGTAGCGACGGGATTTGAAACCCACTACTGATTCTGTGAGAACGTTGAAAAATGTAATGGCTTTGCATTGTGGTCAACTTGTGGAAAATGAAGTTAACAGAGATTATATATATGTTGAAAAAATAAGGAAAATAGATTAATTAGTGTTTTGTGGTAGAATGTTTAATAGGGGTGGATAGAAGAAACTTTAAGATGTGCAGAAAAATCATGTTAAGAGAAAGATAATGAGTTCTATGTAATCCATAGCAAGGTATGAATATTCTAAAAATTGTGAAAATGGCTGTGAATAAGAGTGCTTCTGCACTTTGCTAATTGGAAGTGAGTACTGAATTTGGTGTGTTAAGAGAAATTTATAGACATTGATCATGAACTTTATGAGTCAGTATTCTTTCTGGGGTTTTTTTGGTTGGTTTCAGAGGCTGCATTTCAGCCATTTGTTTATAGTTTTTTTCTAAATTGCAAGTGAACAACAGCTGTTTGTAATTTCCTTTGATATAATCCATGAGTGAATGTAGTTTGCTGCTAAATTACATAAGCAAAAAATCCTAATTATCTGCAGAATAATTTACTTCTATTGACAATCCTCTCAGTAGCCCCTTTGATTTATTATAATAAATATGACTATACCATAATGTTGTGGATTTAATAAGACCAACACAACTTTTCAGGGTTAGCCAGAGACATTGTATATTGCGCAATAGGTTCAAAACTCTGTACATGAAGCATTGAACAAAGACAGAAATTAGGTACAATGGTTTTTATACTCTTCTAAGACAAAGGATTCTGTTAACTCAGCAGTTCATATGATCATATACATTTGTCATATTTAATTGACACTTCCCAATTACTAAGTTTTACAATTTTCTTTGCCAACAGTCATAATTCTTTTTGCCAATTACTGAAGCATAGATTCAAATTATCTCTTGTTGATATTACATGTGGTCATCCTTTGATCTGTTTTAACCTTCAAACAAATATCTCTATCTCTGGCAACTGAGGGGCCCCTCTTGTAAATGTTTCTACTTCAAAGCAATTCTCTCCTTTCAACTGGAGATAATTGGCTTCCCTCAAACAAGCACATTTCCTTTCTTACAATACTATGAATAAAGAGGGCCCTTCAGTGATCATCCAGCTGGACCCACATTTACCTACATTAATAACATCTTTGATCTAGTTATGCTAAATTTTAGGTTTTGTTTGATGTACAGTATATACTTCCACACAATCTGAATAATATTTCTCTCTTTGTTTCAGCAATAAGGAAGACCAGCAAAAATCTATTTTTATCAAGTCAGAACAAGGTGGCTTTAAATTGGATGAAAATGTGCAGTTTCATCTCTATATTAGCACCTCCCCTTGTGGTGATGCTCGGATTTTTTCTCCACATGAAGCTGCCCAAGAAGGTATAAACAGTTCTCTGGTGGAGATTATTTCGATAAAGCAAAAGAAAGTTCTAAAATCAAAATCAGCTAAGTCCCCTCATATAAAACACAACAGTACAAACAAGCTGACACCACTTTTGGCTCTTTCAGACAAAAAAAAGTTTCTGAATTAATCTATGACTTCATTGTAATTATTCAACACACATGCAAAATACTGATCAATTTACTTCTGTGTAGAAACAATGAAGACTAGATAATATTATCAATTTTGTGTATATAAAATGTTGAGTATAATTATTATTGCACACTATAACTTTTCTAATTACACTATATTTTGCATTGTTTTTCTGTTCTGTAAATTCCCTGGCTGAAATAAGAAATAAAAATAAAATAATAAAAATAAAAATAAAAATAAAAAAAGAGCCCTGGGGGCGCAGCAGACTAAAGCTCTGTTATTAAAATCAGTTGCCTGCAATTACTGCAAGTTCAAATCTCCCCAGGCTCAAGGTTGACTCAGCCTTCCATCCGTTCTAAGGTAGGTAAAATGAGGACCCAGATTGTGGGGGCAATAAGCTGACTTTGTATAAAAATATACAAAAGTATGAAGGCTATTGCTTAATGCATTGTAAGCCGCCCTGAGTCTCCGGAGAAGGGCGGCATATAAATCAAATTTAAAAAAAAATGCTTAATATTATTGGTCCAGTGGTTAAGGTACCAGGCTAGAAACTGGGAGACTGTGAGTTCTAGTCCCCCTCCAGCATGAAAACCCATTGTGCGAACTTGGGCTAGTCACTCTCTCTCAGGCCACCTCACCTCACAGGATGGTTGTTGTGGGAGAAATAGGAGGGGGAAGGAGTATCAAGTATGCTTGCCACCTTGAGTTGTCTATAAAAATATGAATGGTGCCATATAAATAAAATAAGTAATAAGTAAAATATATATATAATATATGTATATATGTTATAGTTGTATTAAAATTAATATGTATCTTTTATGCTTTGTTTTGTAACTATGGTGACTTGCATGATTCAGATCAAGGAGACAGACACCCAAACCGGAAAGCAAGAGGTCAGCTACGGACAAAAATTGAATCTGGGGAAGGAACGATCCCTGTCCGTTCTACAACTACGATCCAAACATGGGATGGAGTACTTCAGGGAGAGAGGTTGCTTACTATGTCTTGCAGTGATAAGATAGCTAGGTAAGGTATCTTTTTACAATGAGATATTTCAGTTTGGGGTGGACAGCATTTCATGGCTCCAGAACATAGGAGGGACACTATCAGTTTTCGACAAAAGGAGGTATAGTATATACTTTCCTGTCTGCTGAGGGCTTTAAGTTGGAAATATCACTTACTGCCAGAAGAAGAATGTTTAATTACTCATGCATTTTTTTATCAAATAATATTCCTTATAAATCCGTTGATATATGATATTCAGTCAGGTTATATTTTTGTAGAGCAATATTTAATGTCTGCAATATTTTTCAATGATACGTGTTTTAAAAATAATGATTTGAAGTGTATTTTAACACAAAACACCTAATTATACTTCAGTCTTATTAAATTGGAAATTCTAAAATAAAACTTACATTTAAAGCATGAGTTCCACAATATTACAGCCCTCCTACTCTTTTGAACCTTTTAAACTTAAACAAGTCAATCAGAGTTGTATCTACAAGACATATGGAAGAAAATGCTAAAAGCATATGCTACTCAAAATATATAAAAATCAATTCTGCATTTCTCAACTTGATTATACTACTCCAAGTAGTTCAATTGCATTTAATTTTATTTGGCTAATATGATTAAATCTGGAGCCCTTTCAAGTTTTACTGCAATGCATATTAAGCTACCATAAATATTTATCTGTGGATGTTGAGACTCTATATCACATGTTACATGTAAAAAAATTATCTTGGGTTAAAAGCTTTTGGCAGCCATTGGAATGAAACCTCTGTAAAATAGTTTTTCTTTATTCTAAACCAATGTACTATACAATTGTAGGACTAGTTATTACGTCAGCATTTTGCCAATTTCATTGCTTGCTGGTATTTCAAGGCCCAGTTCAGACAGAGGTCAATGGTTGAACACCATTTAGCTGGATGGCTGACGCAGTTAAAAACAGTATCTTCATCTTGATTTAAGACCTCAGTTCAGTGGTGGGTTGCTCCCGGTTTGCACCAGTTCACAAGAACCGGTAGTAAAAATTTGTAGTTCAGAGAACCGGTAATAACATTGGCTGGCCACGCCCCCGAACCGGTCCCCGGCCCGGTCACAGCTCACTTACCCTGCCCACCTCATCAGAGGCTTTTTTTTTTTACTTTTAAAAGCATTTTTTCTACAACCTCTTCAGCTGAAAAAATGCTTTTAAAAGTAAAAAAAAAAAGCCTCTGATGATCGCGCGGCTCAGCTGGGATCGTCAGAGAGGTTGTAGGAAAAAAAATGCCTTTAAAAGCCTTTGGCAATCCCAGCTGAGTTGCCTGATCATCAGAGGCTTCAAAAAGCATTTTTTTCTGCAACCTCTTAAGATTGTAGAAAAAATGCTTTTAAAAGAAAAAAAACTGGCCACGCCCACACAGTCACATTACTCCCACCAAGTCACGCCCACAAAATAAGCCACACCCACAGAACCGGTAGTAAAAAAATTTAGAACCCACCCCTGCCTCAGTTTATAAGCCTCATGCAGTCCATCAACCTATGATGCTAGTTAAAAATTAATTATACCAAAAGAAAAGGTGACATTCAAAGTGATTCACATTTGATAACTCTAATAGCTTCTTTCAAAAAAGATGTTAAAAAGCATTAGAGGAAAAAAAAAACACCAAGGATCGCCATAGGATAATCTTCCTGAGCAGAGTAATTGTCTCCTGAAATCACCTATCCAAATACTGGTAGAATCATTCTACTACAGTTCCTTCATCTCCCAACTCAGATATCCTATTCAGAAAAATATTTTGATCAATGATATCAGAAAGGAATATTAGGAGCCCGTATATTAGGTTTATGGTAGGTTTCACTTTTAAAGGTGCCATAAAGAAGGAATTTACAACAACATGGATAAGCAGGTCTTTTCCCAGTATATCACTTAATAAGCCAGAAAGGGCAATGGTCAGCCAAATAAACATGATCAAGTACTTTGTTAATATCCTCAGCCCTCAAAAATCAATGCTTATCCAACACAACTTGACCACTGAGTGCTCTGCACAGCTCCACTATGTGAAGTGCACTAACAGCAGAGTCAGGTTGTGACTTTACTTTTTGAGAATCTTAAAAATTACTCACACTGGGTGTTAGAGATATTCTCTTTTCCTTTGACCAAGTTAAGGCAATTTATTAGGGATAGCAACTGTCAGGAAATAAAAGGATTTATTTTCTCTTCGCAGTCATATAAACTGGATTATGTTCCATAGAGTTCTAGGAAATCTATTGTGTGAGTTCTATTTTGCTATGAAGACTAATGTTTTCACTCATTACCAGCAACAAATTAGCAAAAGCTGAAAAAAAATAATGAAATTGCAGGGTGAGTCTCAAGAGGCAATCATACACAAAAAGTTGCTTCACATGTCTACTGTATTAACATTATTGAGTGCTGAAATGCTAAAAGATGATGTTATTTGTTTCCCTTTAGGTGGAATGTACTTGGTATTCAAGGAGCTTTACTTAGCCTCTTTGTAGAGCCAATATACCTCTCAAGCATTATCTTGGGAAGTTTGTATCATGGAGATCATTTGTCCAGGGCAGCATACCAGCGGATAGCAGAGATTGAAGATCTACCATCTCTCTATGTACTTAACAGACCTTTACTCAGTGGTAAGAATGAAATGAAAGAAAAACTGAATCTCCTAATGCTGTCATTTTTTTCAAATTATTGCAACTAACACGAAAACTTTAATAAATGGTAAATCTATCCAAGAGCTTGGAATCAACTAGACTTTTGCTATTGACTATGCTTTAGTATAAAACTAGGGATAAACATGATGGAATTGATAGGCATGAGGAAGCCTCCTATTATTTTTGTACATGACTACAAACATCTATGCCTTATTAAAGGAATGTTGCTCCAAGTTTTAATTAATTTAGTAACTGAGCACAGAGCCACACATTGTGAATAATTTCATGGTTTGTTTTAGGATAACTGAAGAATATAGTGCAAAGTGAGCGAAAAGACTGCTCTTAGAACCAAGGGCTGCTTTTTGTTAAAGAAGAAAAATAAAATGTTAGTACTTTAATGGAGAATGTATTGTAATACATTCTAGTAACGTATTACACAAGCTGTATAAATGGCTGTATTATATAAAAAAGCTTTCTCCAAAGAACCATGAGATTACAGATTAAATAAAATTCCACCATAAGTCTTTTTTAAAATCCTTTTTATTAGTTTATAATATAAAATAAAAAAATAAATAATAGGAAAAATAGGGGAGGGAAAAGGGAAGAGAAAAGTGTAGAAAAGACAGGAAAAAGAAAGAAAAGGCATTGACTTCCGACTCCTTTGGTGAAGTAGAATAAGATAGTAACATCAAATCTCAACTTTTTACTTTTACAAAGTAGTATAAACTAGCCATTTCTATAACAACAGATCTATCTAATCAGTAAAACACAAAATAAAAATTTCATTTTTTTTCCAACTCAAGCACAAAGTCAAGAAGCGGTTTCCAAGAAGAAACAAAAATAATTGTGTTTTTTTTCTTTTATCAAAGCAGTCAATTTAGCCATCTCTTCTAATTCCACCAGCTTTTGCAACCATTCGTCCATTGTGGGGATTGAAGTGTCCTTCCATTTTTATGCATAAAGTAGTCTTGCTGCCGTCAACATATATAAGATCAAAGTTCCGAATTTTTTTTCCCAAGTCTTTTTCCATTAAACCCAAAAGAAAAGTTTCCGGTTTTATCTTTATATTCACTTTTAAGAAACTTCTGTTTTAGAATCCTACTCCAATATTTCTTTCCTTTATCACAGGTCCACCATAAATGATAGAAAGTTCCTTCTTTAAATTTGCATTTCCAACATTCATTTGAAATACCTTTATACATTCTTTTTTTTTTTTATTGAAAAAGTTTTCAAATACAAATTTTTCCCCCTTTTTTCCTTCCCCCCTCCTCCCTAACCCCCCTCGCCACCCATCCCCCCCGTGACTTCTTCACACCAAAAACCTAATTCATAACAGATTACATAATATTTTACCATCGCCTTACTCCCTCCTCTATATACTGACCCTTACTTACTAAAAATATTATTAATATTGTTACTTTCCCCTTTTACCATACATTTCAAAAAAAAAAGCAGTCTGCTATAACATTGTATGATAACTTCTAGTTTAGCATAATATTATTATAACTCCCAATTTAGCAATAATCTGCCCTTTTTGTCCTCCCCAAAACTTATATCTATATATTATTACAACATTTCAAAGCAACCTTCCACTTTAAGACTGTATAATAGATCCTATTTTAACATTTATTCTTTGTGTATATTAATATAACATTTCAAAGCAGCCTTCCCCATAAATCCTAATTTAACATTTATTCAACTCTATCCATTTCCTCCACTGCCCTAAATATATCACTTAAACATCCCTTTTCTTAAACTAATCCATCAGTAGACTAACATATTTCCACCCACTTTCCTACAAAATTACCATGCACAACAATTCTTAATATCTTTAATCCACTGCCCACTCTGCTAATATATATATATATATATGTATATATTCCGTTATTTAAAAAAAAAAAAAGACAATAACTTTAAATTTATAATCCATATAATATCTTCTTTGATGTCTTTCCACTGGATTGTTGAGTCCCTCATCCATAATTGGGTAACGTAGCATCCTGGTGCAACAGTTTGTTCAAAGTCTTCAGTCATCATCTGCCCCCATCAGTAATGAATATCCTCATATATATATAAAAGTAAAAACAACCACCCGAGTGACATTATGATTATATTCCATATAGTTGTAATTGTGGCTTTCATCAGGATTATTAATTCCCATCATCCTAATGGGTAACAACCAGATCTTCTGCATGCCCCAACGTAGCTCTCTTGCCTTGTAGCTCAGAATAGTTATAATATATTTATCAATACAAGAAAGAAATCCAAAATAGATAATTCAAATCCAACAGTTTAAGGCTCTTTTCACATCCCAAAATTACGGCATTGCAGAGGTCTGTCACTGTCCTCAGGATGATATTAACCAATACTTCGCCTCCACTATCTTTTCACATATTCATTCATTTTTTTAAAATCACTGGCTTCACCGTTGCTTAATTTAGAAATTTCTGTTTTTATGAGACCTATTTCTTTTTTTCTTTTCTTTTTGTGGGTTTAATTTCCATCCTGTTTTCCTTTCTACAAGTTGTATATCAACAGATCGGTTTTCATTCTGCTTTTATAAGTTGATCTTGTTGGTTTTGTTTTTGTATCTCATATTTCTTTTTTGCCAATTGTATATCAGCTAATTGATTTCCATACTTGTCTTTAACTTGGTGAATCATCACGTTGAAATCAGATGCCGCTTCTCTCATATTTGTAGATAATCCAGCTGGGGTATCGAGAGAATCCAAAGGCAATTTGTCTACCGCAACCTCTGTAATTCGATGTTTTCCCTTTATTTCCAACTCCTTCTGCTTATCCTGTATTGTGCCTATAGATGTTAAGTTCATTTTCAAAATTTGTTGATAAAATTCTTCCGCTTTTTCAACAGTATCTAATTGGTATCTTTCTCCTTGATATCTCAATATTATGCCAACTGGGGCATCCCACCTAAATGGAATATTTCTGTATTTTAACTCAGTCACCAGAAAACCAAATTTCTTCCTTTCCGTTAACATCTTGGGGGGGAGCTCTTTGTAGATCCATATCTTTCTTCCATACAATTGCAAAGTAGAATTGAAGGAATTTTGCACAATATTATTCCTAATTTCTTTATCTGTAAAATAAATCACCACATCTCTAGGCAATTGCCTTTGCTTTGCAATCCAGGAGTTTATTCTGTACACTCTGTCAATCCTACAAAACACTTCCTCAGGTTGAACCTTTAAAATCCCAGCCAGAATTTCAGAAGATATTTTCCTTAAATCATCTCTGTTATTTTCCTGCAAACCTCTAAGTCTGATCGCATATTCTGTAAAATTATAATGCACCATTAGGACCTCTCTTTCAATCCGTTGTTGTAAATTTTCTGCATTACAAGACTTTTGTTCAACCTCCATTTTAGGTTTTTCTTCTAAGCTATTGTCTTGAATGTTTGTCAAATCATTTTCAATTTTTTGTATTTTATTATCCAAATTGTCCTCAATTTCTTCCACTTTAGACTCTAATAAGTTAGTATTTTCATCCAACTTAATCATAAATTCTGCAAAGCCATTAGCCATTTTTATAATCTTTCGATCCAGAATATCAAACTTTAATTGCACTAATTCTTTAATTTCCTGCTTAAATTTTTCAAAGTTCTGATTCACAATCTCATCCCTTCTTACAATCTCCTCCAAAAGAAATTCAATTATATTAAAATCAGTTTTCTGAGACTGGAGCTTTAAAACTTGGTCACGTAATTTGTTAATGGGGGAATCCCCCCCCCATTGCTTGTTTGTCCGGCTTTAATGCCATATTTCAACACAGACAAACTATTTTTTAAAAAAAAAAGAAAAGAGAGGCAGCAGAGAAAAAAAAAAACTTCTTTCCAACCAAGATCAATATCAAATCTCCAGGAAGAGAAAAAACACAAAAGTAGAGCTTTATTTTCAAGTGTAGCCAAAAATATTTATTCAGCTACTTTGTATCTCAATAGGAAACGGAAGGACTCTCCCTTTCAGCCCCTTCTCAAGCCTCGGCAATCGCCCTTTTTAAAGATTCTTTTTTCCTTTTCCTTTTCCTTCTTCAATAATTGTTATAAAATAAGTGAGATACTTGCAATTCAGGGTCACAGGTCCAGCTCATATCCCTTCAAATGTAGCCAGGAGCATTTATTCTGCTACTTTGTAACTTAATAAGAAACGGAAGGACTTTCTCTTTTCAGCTTCCCTGCTCCAGTTTCGGCAATCGCCATTTTAAAAGGTCTTTTTTACTTTGTTGAATATCCTTTGCGAAATAAGTATTAATACTTGCAATTTAGGGTCACAGGTCCAGATCCAAATCTCATCATCTTTAGTTAATCTGTTAAATATCTTAAAAAGCTTGTCTTCGTAGCCTTGTTCTGCAAAAAGGCAGAAGTCTCCCAACGCCCGGAGCGGGCGGCGAGTGCTATAGGGAGCTTCCTCCGCCCGCCCCCAAGAGTAAAAAAAAAAACCCTGGGGGCTACGGAGAGCTCTACCTACACTCACCTGCTCTATCCCACATTTCCTCCTGGAAATGGGGTTTTTCGAGCCGCCTTTGCGCTGTACAGGCGGCTCTTTACAGGCGAAGGGGCTGGCGGTCCCGAGAGACCGTCTGGTGGCTACGAAGAGCAAACCGGAAGCCACCTTTATACATTCTTGATAACTTATCTGGCTTTTGCAAACAAGAAAATATTTTATGGATTGATTAAGAATATATAAATAAAAGATAATTACATGCTGTAGATTGTAATTAAATGTTAGCACCAGGAAAAAATACATATTACAGTAAATACATTTAACCTATTCTGAAAAGTGATAGTGTACTTTTTTCCTCCTAATATATATACCGTATTTTTCACACTACGAGACACTCCAGACCATAAGACACACCTAGTTTTTGGGGAGGAAAAAAAAAATTCTGCCCCTGCCTCCTTGCAGCAATTTGCCTCCTTGCAGCAAACAGCCTGGTCAGTTTCAGCACAGCCTGATTTAGCACGAGCAGCTGATTAGTGGTTGGATCAGCCTCCAGGAATACAGCTGATCAGTTCCAGGCTGCGGGGATCATCGCCGCCCATTGTCAACACCTATCACTGTCTCTGTGCACCCCATTTTTGGCCTCCATACGCCCCATTTTCAGCCTCCGTGCATCCCGTTGTTGGCCTCCATACACCCCATTTTTTGACCCATTCCAGGCAGCGAGGATTGCTGCCGTCGCCATGGATCACCATCGCCACCATTCAGTGGTGATAGGCAGCAGCAACGGTGATCCCCGCCGCCTGGAACAGGCTGAAAATGGGACACGCAGAGGCCAAAAATAGGGCGCTCAGAGGCCAAAAATAGGGCGCTCAGAGGCCAAAAATGGGGTGCACGGAGGCAGTGATAGGTGGCAATGGCGATGGGCAGTAATGGTGGTGATGGGTGGTGGCAATCCCTGTAGCCTGGAACAGCTGATCAGAGGTATTCTGGGAGGCCGATCCAACCACCAATCAGCTGTGCTGAAGCTGACAAGGCTGTTTGCTGCAAGGAGGCAAATTGCTGGGAGGCAGAAGCTGAAGGATGGGGGCTGGCGGGTGGGTGGGGCTTTGGCAACATTCACTCTATAAGATGCACAGACATTTCCACCCACTTTGTGGGGGGAGTGCATCTTATAGACTGAAAAATACGGTAAATTGAAAGCATAGTTAATAGAAGAGCAATAAATTATCATTGCTTTTGTGCATCTTATATACTAGCTTTTATTAAGCATTGGAAATGATTTCATCTCTAAAACAAATCTACACTCTATTTGGTATTACCCTAATTTTTTCTACCAGATACTAATATTTTCATGTGGTTATTTCAGGTATTAGCAATGCTGAAGCCCGTCAGCCAGGAAAAGCACCTAATTTCAGTGTAAACTGGACAGTTGGGGATGCTGGGCTGGAAGTTATTAATGCTACAACAGGCAAGGATGAGCTTGGTCGTGCATCCCGTCTTTGTAAGCATGCACTATATACTCGCTGGATGCGTGTTTATGCAAAGGTAGGTTTCCAAATTACACAGTCCAGTGTTACTTTATAGCTATTGGACTTACTTTCTGATTTTATCTCTGAGGCTGAATGTTTTCAAGGTATGAACTCTGATGAACATCAAATATGAATGTATTGTTGCTGCTGCTCCAAGAACAACCTGGGATATAGAACTGAGACACATTGGCTTCTTTGATAGGGAATTACTCGTTGTTCAGATATTGCTGAACTAAACTTCCATAAGCCCCAACCAGACTCATCAATTATAAAAAATGTAGGAATTTTTCATGTGACAATATGTGCAGAGCCACAATTTTCCTATCCATGGTGTAAATTCCTTTTCTTATCTCCTATTTATCTCACAGAATAGGACAGGAAAAGCTTTGCTTATAGCTGCTATGTTAAGAATTTGGCTTAAATGATCTAGGAAAAAGTCTACATCAAAAGTCCTCAAACTCTTTATGATGTTTGAGCTTGTTCATTGGCTCCTAAATATTTATTATATGAAAATAATTTCATAAATACTACTTTACAGTACACCAATACTAATAGCAATACTACTAATAATAACATTGACTCCTTGGTTAGTCCTGTGGATCCTTGGGAGTTGATACTGACCACTTTGGGGAATTCTAATCTTCACATACTCATTTCTAATAAGTATAGAAAGTCTCCCCCTCCACCTCCTCCTTCTCCTCCTCCCACTAGCAAAATGTAATAATATTTACAAAAATTACTAACAAAAGAAAAACATTTGGTGCATGGCTTCTAAAATTGTTTCCAGCCTCTTTACCAGCAGTGACTGTTACCCTTTGTAACAAACGTATGTGTGTTTATATGGGTGTTTCTGTTCTTCCATTGTGGGGTTTTTCCTGTTCATTTTTATGTACAGGACAGACTATGTACCTTCTTTCTGGGTCATGTAGGAGGGAGGAGAGCTTAGAATGAACAGTTGGTAACATTTTGAACAGACACCTCTCCCATAAGATTGGATTGGGAAAAAAATTTCTGGAATATTTTACTTCACATCCCCTGGCCAGATTTAACCCTCTTTTGAGCTCAGAATTTTACTTGCCAGCTTCTTCCCCAAATTAAATTCTATTTTCATTTTTTGGAAAGTTATCTTAACTAAAGGACAAGAGCCTTTGACATAACTTCTTTCCATTATTCTATTGAATTGAGAAGAATAAAAAGACAAGAATAAGTAGCAGAGAAAACTTATTTAAAACAAAGAAGGTGACTACTGCAAAGTATTATGAGCACTTAAAATATCTATTTAAAGAAACCTAATTTAAAAATCCATAAAAATATCTCAGGAGAAAAATGTTTTTTATCTCCGTTATACTGATTTACCTAGATCAAAAGCACTGGCCTCTGCATGGCTGGGCATGGCTGTAGCCCTGTGGGCCCTTTCTCTTTAGGAAAAGAATGGGCTGCGAGATGAAACTCACCTCCCTTAACCAGAGATATTTTCATCCTGCTGAGTGTAATTTAAATAACCTTTGGGGGATTGCTCTGCTTTCAACAGCTCTCACTAAAGGGGAATGAACCATGAAACAGAAATGAATAATTGATTGGAAAAGGATGGGATTGTTTTAAGTCCAAATGGTTTTTCTGTTAGTAAGATTCTGGGTTAACTTTTGAACACTTGCTATTTATTTGTGGGTTTGAAAGCATTGCAATTTAATATTGGAATTACAAAATAGGAGGAAGGACATGGGGTATTTGGTGTTGGTTTAGAGATTGATTCTAATGGAAAGTTTTATAATAAAACAAATCTGTTAATTGGGTTTCAATTTACAAGAATTTAGAGCAATCAAGATGATGCTTTAATTAATATCTCTTTTTTTTTCTCTTTGATTTATCCAGCTTCCTGCCAGTCTTCATTCAAAAGTCAATAAGCCAAATATATATCATGAAACAAAACAGGTCGCTGTGGAATATCAAACTGCCAAAGAGTGTTTGTTTAAAGCATTTCTGAAGGCTGGCCTTGGGGCCTGGGTGGAGAAGCCTATAGAGCAGGATCAGTTTTCCCTGGTTGTCTGAATTATGGTTTGCACTTTGTGGAACCCTGATGAAAGGTCCAGTTTCTGTATCAACATTTCATCCGGTCATCTATAACAGCAGCTTTTTAACTTTTGTGATTTGGGGAACTAACTTGTGATTAATTAATTTTGGTTTTGTTAAGTTAATTCAAACTAAAGAAAAACTGATAATATAGTAACTAGTTTAGAATCAAACAAAATTATTTGATTACTATCTCAAGACTATCTTTGCAGGAAAAAATCGGTGCAATTTTTTCAATAATTCATCCACACTTTTTAACAATTATTTTAATAAATTGCTGTCAGATGCATATATGATGCACACGGGATAGGATTTTTACATGCCACTCAAGTATGTACTTTAACTTTGTGTTCTATTTTCAGAGCCTTAGAAAAAAGAAAAAAATTATGCACTTTTAGAGTTTTATTTTTAAATTGATTAATATCATAACAATGATAGAAATTACAAAACTGGACTGGTGTTTAGACAGTTTTTCCTGCTTCTGTCCACACCCTTAAAACACAGCTGCTGAAAACCTTTGTCTTTGCTGTGTGTATGTGATAGTTTTTAACATGCTACTTTCTATTCCATTTTAAAATACTTGTCTTCAATTAGCGTTTATATACATTGTGACGTTATTGGTTTTTACCATTGTAAACTGGAAACTGTTTGTAAACTAATAGAGTATAGACTTCAGTTTAGATGTAGGTGGTTCTTTGTTTCACAGGAACCTTCTAAATTACCACAGTAACATTATCCCAATGTGGTGGCCATTTCAGAACATTTTTTCCTTTGTGAGAAACTTGCTGATTTGCCAAAAACCTACTGCACATGTGCACCACAACAGTTAAATGAGTAAAAGGTTATTCTAAGTTAAATTATATGCTCTTTTAAGATTTAACTTATTTTCAGCCAAACTGTATATAACTATGAGGTTATGCTGCCTGTGACTGTAAACATGTGGATATAAAACTACCTATCCAGATTATTCTGCAATGTAGTTTTGTTTGATCTAGTAAAATAGGAATAAATGTTGAGCACCTATTTATTTATGAAGTACCCAATCCATAAGCATGTTTGTATGTGTCTGGATCTCTGAAAGACAGCAATATTTGCAGAGGGAACTAATACTTGTGCTGAGCATAGGTCTTCAGACTCCCTAGAGCAGGGGTGTCAAACTCACATCGTCATGACGGCGTCACGTGATGTATCGAGACTTTTTTCCCCCTTTGCCAAACTGGGCGTGGGCATGGCCAGCGCATGACGCATCCGGCCTGTGGCCCGGGAGTTTGACAGCCCTGCCCTAGAGGATCCTCTGCTTAACACTCATGGTGAGTGTGCTGCACCAACTGTTAGCTGTAAAGGCTTACCCTGAAATGCAGTGTGTATATGTCCTCATGTTGAGCTAACTAATCCATCAAGCCATCTCTTCTATCCAGTTTCAGTGTTTCACAAAGCATTTACTCTGTTGATTGATTGATATCTCACCTCTAGCTTTATCTCAATTAGAGGAAGTAGTTATAAATATGAAATTGTGCTAGGGTTTTATTTCAGTGTTAAAGAAATCTAACTGTAGAGCTAAAACAAAATTAATAACAATGAAATAAAAAATAGAGTTTGGTCTTTTCAATTCCATTCTGGCAAAGTATGTCATATAGGTTTAACACTGTTAATTCTGATTGTTCTTCAGTTTGAAAAGAAATAATGGTAACATGTTATGCTAAATAAATGCCAGGAATTTCAGGTGATATTCATATTGAAGATTTCACATCAGCTATAGGTATTTTTCAATGTCCATGTAAGGAGATGTAGTAGATAGAACTAATAGCTAGCATCTCATTTCTATATGGAGCCTGGATATAACTATCTACAGTATATTGTATTGTGTTCATAGATACAAACACCATGGAAGGGTATATGCATGTCCGTGAAAGCCTTATTCAGTATTTAGTAGATATGGCCCTTGTCTTTCTCAAGACAAAGGCCATCTCTATTCTGGTATAGAATGATGGACAAGGAAATCACAGAACTGAAGAGATCTGAACTCTGTGGGAATTTGGGCAGGCATTGGGAAGGATTATTGACTATAGTCATCTCTTCCTCTCATGAGTATATCCACTCTTCCTCCTCTAACAGTCATCTATGTAACATATCTGTACATGCGCCTTCGGTCCTTGCTCAGTCCTAACAAATTTCACTGGGTCCACCCAGTCATGAGCTCCTCATCCAGTTCTTGTGTCTTCCTCAAGCAAACTAATAGCAAATGAATGGTTGGTGGGCAGCACTAGCAACTAATGATGCAATGTATAGATGTTGCAAGAAGTCTGCAGATAACACTGGTCTCCAGTGAAACAATGGAGAGGCCTCTCCATTGAGACTGTAAAAACATCATGCAGAGTGGAGAACCATGTAGCATCTCCATCAGCAGCCAAGTGAATTGCTCCAAAAGCCATTTGCTACAGAGAACCACATGAAGCTCCATGGCTGAGATGATCTGTCAAAATCCATCATGTTTTATCAAGGAGAAAAAACAAATACAGGTATTTTGCACAGATGACCTGACTCTAACCTTAAAAAAACATACTTTATACATGTGGAAAGTCCACCTCTCATTTAAGTGTATGCATAAAGTAACCAGACATTGCGAAAAATAGATATGCAAAAACTTTCTGCAACTATTAAAATCTGATCTCTAATTATTAGTTGCAGATATAAAAAAACTGCAGATAACAAGAACCGCCTTTTTTAAACGGAAAAACTGTTCACTTAAAAAAACCAATAGGCACAATAGTAATAAATATTTATGTTGATAGGGCCCTACAAAATTTAGTCTGCAAGAGCAAATTATTTATGTAGCACATTTAAATGGCAATGACAGAATTGTAACTTGAATTAAATAGGCAATAGCTGAACATGCTGAAAAGTTCATCACACAAATATTCACACTACAATATACTCCATTATTGATGATCAAAGCCAAATTATGAACAATTGGAAAGTAAACTAGATGATAGATAGGATTGCCAACATTGTCAACATAACACATTTTGCTATCTGAGACAGATCTGGAAACATGCCTGGGGCTTTCTGCCTCATGGTTGGTGCCCAGAGGGTTCTGGTTGATGACAGAGATTTGATCGACCTGCATTTTGAGACCAACCGAGCACAATATCGGTTGTGCTACTTTATCTTTTGAAAACACTAACAAGGAAAAGTGTTGTATTTTTGACAACTGACTAAACAGCACAATAAAAAGCAAGGCTAAATCAATTTCACAGGATTGCAGGTAGTCTTTGACTTAAGACCACAATTGAGCCTAAAATTTGCTAAGTGAGAAATTTATTAAGTGAGTTTTGCTCAATTTAAGACCTTCCTTTCTACAGTTGTTAACTGAATAAGTTAACAGTTGATAAATTAGTAATCTGGTTGTTGAGTGGATCTGGTTTCCCCATTGACTTTGCTTGTCAGAAGGTTGCAAAGGTGATCACATGACCCCAGGACATTGCAGCCGTCATAAATATAAGTCAGTTGCCAAGTATCTGAATTTTGATCACATGATCATAGGGATGCTGCAAAGATTGTAACTGTGAAAAATGGTCATAAGTCACTTTTCAGTGCCATTGTAACTTTGAATGATCACTAAATGAACTGTTTTAAATCGAAGCCTACCTGTACTGACTTGTTTTTCATAATTGATTGGCAACCCTGATTGTGAATCACCCTGATATTCCCAATAATGCTTTTTGTGTACAAGAGTACTTAAAGTATACTATAAATTCTCTGATTTCTGGCTTGAAACAGACTGTGGTTTAAGTTTTAGAGTGGCCCAATTTGGACAAAAAAACCGGAACATTGTTTATTGCTGTAGCAGTGAGCAGAAATAAGTGTGGGACCAGCATTCCTTTATCTTCTACAAACCTGTAGCTTCTGATTTCTTTGTCAGGATTTATTGTTATGTCTAAATGGGGAGGGTAGGAGGAAAAGTCCAGTTAAAGTCTGACTGTTATATAAAAAGACTCATTTAAACTGATCAGAGTTTCCCCTATTTGAATTTCACAGCTAATTCTTATTTGCTTTTGGTTTATTTCAAATTAAATAAAGGTTCTTCAGAGGAGAAGGAAAAGTCAGTCCATCCAGGGATACTTTCAGTTAATTTTCTTAAGCACTGAATTTCTCCAAGATGAGGAGTATTTTTGCTTTGTTTTCTCTCCCCCACCCCATTTCTCTGTCTCAGAGAGCTGCACTGTCATTAGCAATAAAATTTTAAAGGGGGAAGCTTGTTGTTGTGTAATGCCTATGACTGATTTTATAACCCCTGTAGCAAGTAACCTTCTTGGATCAGGATAGAAAACTGTTCGAAATAGCACAAACATCTTTAATATTATTATTACTGTGTTACATAACAGTTACTAAGCATGCTGATATAGCTGTTTTGCTGTTCTCATTTTATTTCGAGGAAACTCATCTTTGCCAAAATATTTGTCATTTCTATTAAGATAACCTGTGTCTATGTAAATTATATTATGGTATAATTTTTATTAAACCATTTGCTCATTTTGAATTAGCAAAAGTGTTATTAACATGATATGATTCCTTATTACAATGGGATTACAAAAAGTTTATACATGCTGTAAACAATGAACTCCAATGATTGCTGATGTGAATATTCCACCACATAAATTAAATTCCAGTATGAATGGTCCACTTTTGTATTAACATTTCTCTGTGATTGACAGGATAACAACCCTGTTCCAGCTGTAGCACAAAAATGTTTTCACATGATAGGCAAGAGAGGGATTAATTTCCTTTCCTTTTATGCTCCAAACAATTAGCTGTTTTCCTTGTAAAATGGATAATTAGAAATGCCTATTTAATGATGTTGTGATTTAATTGCAATGGAGGTTTATTTTTGCTTTGTTAAATATGAGAAAAAATTTCCAGACTATAGATACCTTTTCAGATGCAAGAGAGATATGTGATTTAAATTCAAAGAGTTAAATGAAGTGAATTCACAAATGAAATGAACAAAACTGTTCTTTGAAAATGTGTGTTGTACTTTAAATACAAAGATTGATTTGCAAAGTATGCAGGAAAATTAAATGCATTGCTAATGATTAAAGAAAATAAAAGCTCCTTCAATGCAAAAGTTGTTAATGGATTGCTGGCCCAGGATGGGTTGTATCTCACAAGGACTGGCAAATGTATTTGGCCAAAATGTACTAAACTGAATACTGTAGAGGCTGGAAATAAAATGGCCTGGAAGCCGACAAAACAAAGGAGTAGAGATCAGATATTTTGAATGCTGATCTGTGGCAATCACAGAATCTTAAAATGGTTAGAGTAAATACTCAGCTTGGTTACATAGTACTGGGTTAATTAAGGCAGTATCTTTGCGAAACACAACTCATATCTGGATGGAATTGCCTGGGATAAACTTTCAGATATTCCTTCCTTCCCCCCACAATTTCCATATTGGAATGTATTATGTCTCTCAGTGATCATTCAGGGGGAAAACAATTGTTTGAATTGTCAACATCCAACTGTTCAGAATAATAGAAGAATGACCTTGTACAGAAAACTGGACTTAATAGATTTAACAGAGGTTTATTGGGTGAATTCCTATGACTGGAATACAGCAATTGAAGCTTATAATTTGCTTAAAAAGAAAAAGAATAATGAAAAGAAGATGTTGCTCTGTATGATAAAATTATTCACAACTGACCTTGACAATATTGTAGACAGCTTCTTAGTTAATAAAAAGAATTCTTGTTTTGGTTTCTACAAGTTTCGATTTTTTTCCTATGACCATTCAACCAACCAAGAATAGCAAATTGAAAAACTCAGTTGACAGCCTTTTTAATGATAGAGGCTTTGGTTTGACCTGCCAAATTGCTGCAGAAACATGGCAGAATTATTTCCAGAGTATCTTTACAATTAAATAATTAAATAATCCAATTGCGACTTATTAAAATGCTCTTTCTAACTGGCCATCTGCATTTACAGTTGAGGTTAATGAGATTATTTCAGTTAAGACTTGGAAAAAT